AGACAATTTGCGGGCTATATATATATATATATATATATATATATATTTTTTTTAAATAATTACAGTCTCGCTGGAGAACTCCGGTCTGACGCACGCGGGTTCTCGCGTTATTTCCTCATCACTTCTCGTGTGTTTTGTCGTGAAACGTAGTTTGCGGACCAGACAGAGCTGTCTGCGATTCTTCCTATTGTGAAGTCATGCAGTGTGAAACCCCCTGTCGCCGATCTATCGTGCAGTGTGAACACAGCAGCAACTGAATGCTACCCCAGATAGTCACGCAGTGTGAAAACAACAGCGATCCGACGAGTTTGAAAATCGTGCAGTGTGAACTCGGCATAAGTTTATGTCTATGGCGATTCACGCAGGTATGTTACTCCGCAGCAGTGACGACCCGACCAGTACCCGACCAGGCTACAATAGTCCAAATATAAGTACTTATTATTAAGTGTACCGTAGTGATTTGGAATAAGACAAAAACGCGGTTTGGAAGATGAATTCATGATGTATTCGCTCATTATATACATTTTGCAAATTTTGAAGACAGAAAAAGTTACATAGTGCTGCTTTAAAAACTCCTAAAGTGAGTTGTATCAAACTTAAGGTCATAAAAAGTTTTAAATATGTTAAATGGTATAAGAAATGTCTTAATTATAATTTCAAGAGGTCTTACAGTTGGGGACTGAAAGACTAGAGTCGCGATATGGCTAGATTAAACTTCAAAAGGCAATGGTATCATTGAATAAATATGAGCGGTGCACGTGTCAAGTCAAAACGCGGCGCGCATGTCTTTATTTGAATGCATCTGAACTTCTGAAGGGAACCGACTGTCCTCAGAAACGTGTCGCTCGCATTTTAATTTCATTTGACCTATAATTCCTGATAAAGCAGCGTTTATGAGCGAGGAGCTGCTTTGTGTACAGCCATTACCGGGGAAACCGCAATATTTCAGTGCTCCTAAAGCGCCACCTCGTGGCAGAGAATGAATTTGCCTGAATAAGCCTTTCCTGCCATTTATGGTCAGATCATCAACAGCATATATATCAACTCATGATTTTACACAGCAAACACATAAGTGTTGTAAATGAGAAAAGTTAATGTGCCTTCTAAAAATCTAAACAATTAAGACGTTTTAAACTGACAATTTATATGCTTGATTTATCCCTTTTCGTAAAAATGGTCTAAAGGCTGAAATGCTGTTGTATAACATTTTTGTGAAAACCTGTATCTGAACTGTAAATCACGTAATTTTATGGCTCAGTACTGTATGTTACCACAGACATTGTTCAACCCCACTCAAACTGTTCATTTTACTTGTGCAGCTCTTAAAATGGGTCATAAATGGCCTTGCATTTATTTTTTTAAATTCCGCAGATACCCTGTAAATAGTGAAATAAAATTCCTTCCTTCATATTTGTTGATATTTGTGTATTGAAAATATTTTTGATTGACATTTAAACGCCTATCTGATTTTCTATATTTTAAAAAAAAAAAAGGTATTTTTTTTATTTGGGCTAGTTAAATTAATTTTCGGTCTACCAAAATCTGAAGAGTACCTGCACAAAGCGCTACCAGATATTTAGAAATTTTGCGAGCCCTGTATTATGATGTAAAATAAAAATTTTCTATTTTAAATATACATTTAAATGTAATTTATTCCTGTGATCAAAGCTGTATTTTCAGCATCATTACTCCAGTGTCACATGATCCTTCAGAAATCATTCTAATATGCTGATTTATTATCAGTGCTGGAAACATTTTTGTGCTGCTTAATATTTTTTTTTGGAACCTGTGATACTTTTTTTCAGGATTCTTTGATGAATAAAGTTAAAAAGAAGAGCATTTATTTCAAATATAATTTTTTTCTTACATTATACACTACAGTTCAAAAGTTTGGGTCAGTACATTTTTATTCTTTCTTTTTTTTTAAAGAAATTAAAACTTTTATTCAGCAAGGATGTGTTAAATTGTTAAGAAGTGATAGCGAAGATTTATTTTTAATAAATGTTGTTCTTTTTAACTTTTTATTCATCAAAGTATCCTGAAAAAAAGTATCGCGGTTTCCAAAAAAAAAAATTGGCAGCAGAACTGTTGCCAACATTGATAATTCTAATAATAAATCAGCATATTAAAATGATTTCTTAAGGATCACGTGACACTTTATACTGGAGTAATGGCTGATGGAAATTCAGCTTCGCATCCAAGAAATAAATTATATTTTAAAGGATATTAAAATAGAAACAATTATTTTATATTGTAATAACATTTTGCAAGATTACAGTTTTTTTTCTGTATTTTTGATCAAATAAATGCAGCTTTGATTAGCTTTTTGAAGAGACATCTATTAAAAAAACATTACAAGTCTTACTGATCCCAAACTTTTGACCGGTAGTGTATATATTTTCGTAAAAAAAATAAATAAATCTTACTGACCTCAACCTTTTAAATGGTAGAGTACAGTATATAAATCAACTTTTCATTTAAAACTTCTACTGCCTACAGCACATTTGCATGCAGTGTAAAATATACATACTGCAGAAAAAGCATGAATAGTATGTTTTTCCAAACATACCCAATAACTTCCTGCAAGGACATACCTGAGAGCAGCCATGTTTGAAATGCTGGGCGAGTGAGCGCGTGAGTGTAGGCCCGGAGAGGCGGGGATTCGGCTCTGGTTGTGTAGGACATGGCAGTGTAGGGGTGAGGCGGGCGAGTCCAGCCGGGTCACGTTTCTCAGGTGGGTGCTGAGGAGGCTGGGGGCCGCATTGGGAGTGTGAACTGGCCCGGCCTGGTCTGGACACTTTAATACAGTGGTCTGCTCCTGAAAAAATGCACAACAACATTCTAAACTAGATGTTTAAATGTTTAATTCTTTTTTTTTTTTTAAACATAGTACATTAAGATAATTAAATTCTTCTTTTAAGGAAAATAAATCTTTATTTTTTAGTACCACGGTAGAGCTCAGGTAGCTTTCTTATTGTAATAGATGATATTTCATTGTTTTTGAGATTCAATGCCAAATTCTGATATAAAAAGATTGCACATGACTTTAAATCTAGATGGGACATTTAAACAAAGTACTTATATTAGCCATTAAAAAGGTCTTTATCCATCAATTACATAAAAAAAATACAAAGACACCTGTGCCAGTGATCTTATCTTGAACCAGTCTTTAGACTTGATGGTTTAACTGGGTTAATGACATTTGACACTCAACATCAAATCTAATATCAAACATTAGAACATTAACAGTTCAAATAATGACGTCATCCCTTAACCATTAAAACAAAAACGTGGAAACATAAGGTATGTATTGAGTGAAGCAACCGTACCTCAGGTGTGGCTTTGCGCAGGGTCCAGACGGTGTGTGTGCACTGCTGTGTGTCGTACGTCATGATAATGGAGGGCTCGTGGCAGGTGAACACCACTCTCAGAGCGCTGTCTGAAACATACTGGAGACGGGACTCAAAGAGACCTGAACCAATAAGAGGAAAGCATTAACATATGACATATTCTGAGGTCAAAAGTCCAGAGATCCACAACACATCTAAGTCATTATTATAGAGTTAATTCAATGGTTTTCCCAAGTTCCAAATGAATGGTTTTAGTGAGTAAATAAGAAAAATTTACGACCAGTTGGCCAGTAGCTTTATTAGGAAATAATACATGGTTTAAATTGAATTATATGAACGTCATTCTGACTCTTACTGATGTGAGCAACATGAGCGAATCAAATCATAAACATACAAACCTCCTACTAAAGAAAACATCTGTTTATCTGGGACCATGGGAAGTTTATTTAGGAAGTTTTGTATGTGGTGACAGATTATGAAATGTTTCTCACATTAAGCCACCAAAACAAAAATATGAGAATTAAAAATCACAATGGGTTGTCATGTTTTTGTAAGAGAAGCAGTTTCACGGAGACCGACTCATCTTGAATGTGATGCTGCAAATGAAACTATGACCTAAACAGTCACTAAAATGCAGTAAAAAAAAAATTTCTGGGTAGCAAATTTCACCATTGTCTCTCCGTTTTAGACCCAGGGAATCAACATTTATTCAATAAATATTAAAACTTCATCATAAATATGGTTTAAATGAGTCAGAGTTCCAGGACAGAAGACCATGGAGAATGTAAGTGCAAGACCATTCAACTGTGTGTCATAATTAAAAATAATTACTGATTGCACTACCATAATTTACATCAAAAATACAAATGATTGCTAAACAATGCTGATAATCTTAAACTATCCTTTCTAAGGTAAAGAGCTGTTATTGTTAAATATGAAAAAATTATTATAAATAATAATTATAAATAATAAATCATAAAGAAAATGACTAAAACCTAAATAATACAAGATAAACAGAAACCATTTTTAAAAAGAACAAAAAATTAATAAAAATGAAAAGGCACATAACTAAAAATCACTAAAACAAACTAAAAATTAAAACGGAAAATTCCAAAATAAAAGCCAATTTAAATATGAATAAATATTCTAATGGTTTATAAATAATACAAAATTACACCGATAATGTGCATAATTATCACGTCTTACCAGTGGACTTACAAACAACAGGAGCGATTTCATCTAACGGATGCAGCATGCTGAACAGAGTCGGGAGAGGTTCCCTGATAACAAGATTCAAATCATTCACCACCATATTCACACTACACAAGCATTTGTTCACAACAGTCGAATGCAAACAGTGACAGTCAGACTCAGCATTAACATTTTTTAAGAAATAATCAAGCATACCTGATGGGGCTTATGTTGCCATCAACTATAATATTTTTACGCTCCAAAAGAAGGCCAAACTTTGTTGACCAGAGAGCGGAGACCTACAAATGAAACAGATTAAAGTCAATCAAAAGACAGAGGAAGACGACTGATGAAAAAATAGTATTTTACAGCTAAAGGTTACATATAAAGGGGTTGCTAGGCATGAAACATACTATGTTTCACATACAATATAGCACAATCGTTAATGCCTTATTGCTTTTACAAACAAACTTAAAATTAAAAAATTAGTGCATTGCATGAGAAAGTTTCAGGCTCTCAATTCCCGTTTCCCTTATCCCCATTATAAACGCAAATGTCTGAAATGTTTAGGAAAAGCCTCTAGGGCAACATGCCAGAATATGCTCACGTAAAATAAAGCCAGCATTAGCCAGAACTGTAAATTGTTCTGTCTAAATACTGTTATTAAAACCAAAACGCCCCCCTTTCCTGTCCATGTGCCAAATAACCCATTATGCCTCATGAAATGGACAACTACCACACATCATCAGTCACTGAGCTAAAAAAAAGAATAAATCCCTGATGGCACTAACAAATGCCTGCTGGTGACAATGGCTCTGCTGGAAGATTTCCTTCAAAATACGTAAGGCTGATTGAGACATTTAAACCGGATTTGAGAGAGAGAGAAGTCCATTATAAAACAGAGATGTACGGTAGAGAAATTCAACAGACTCAGGCATCAAGCGTTCTGACCTGGAATGGCAGTGGAGACATGAAGTCTTTCCCACTCATGCTGTGGACATTCACACAAGTGCTCTGGACGATACACACCGTCTGCTCCACAACGTCCTTTACTAGAGATCATGAGCAAAAACAATCACTCAACATCAAACAAATCCTGACAACAACATTTAGCATTATACTTGCTACTGACAACAGAAAAAGCTATTAAAATGCAAAAAATAAATAAATAAAAACATATAATTAACTATACAATGAAAAGACACACACAAATAAGCAAGCATTAAATAATAAATAAAACATTATGTACAAATATAAAATAAATGAAACATCACAAATAATAAATTAAAAATAAATAAAAATTACAAAGTAATAAAACAACAAAAACATGTAAAATAAATGAATTAATAAACTAATAAAAATTAATAAAATATAAATATATATACAAGATCTTTTTAATAGCGAATATAAGTACTTTGGTTAATACTTTAGACTAGGGAACACTATTCACTATTAACTAGCTGCTTATTAACATGCATATTGGCTGTTTATTAGTACTCATGATTAAAACAAATGAATTCCTTAATCTGCATGACCATATTCTAGATGCCTTACCCCTCCTCAATACATAAACATAAATCAATAAGCAGCAAATTAGGAGTTTTTTTTTTTTTGAGGGAAAATTCTTAGTTAATAGTGAATAAGTGTTCCATTATCTAAAGTGTTACCGTACTTTATTACTTTATGTGTGGAAACAATAATATAACACAAATATGTATAAAATTCTCACCATTCTTTTTAGACTGAGGGACAGTGAAATTACACCATAGAGCCTATAAAATAATAAGTGAAAGTATATTATACTTGTGTATTACACTATAATTGCAAGCATGAAAAGTGATTCTTAATACAGTAGCCCCAGGCACTTAAAAATGTCTATAAGTCATAGAAACTACCAAACCAAATAGTAATTACTATATTTCCCACTATAACCTAAAAGTTTTTTTCTGTTTGCAGACAGTACCTGCTGAACTGGGCTGTCCACCGTGAAGGCCTTGTACACATACGAGGCTTGATTGAGGGAAAATTCTTAGTTAATAGTGAATAAGTGTTCCATTATCTAAAGTGTTACCGTACTTTATTACTTTATGTGTGGAAACAATAATATAACACAAATATGTATAAAATTCTCACCACTCTTTTTAGACTGAGGGACAGTGAAATTACACCATAGAGCCTATAAAATAATAAGTGAAAGTATATTATACTTGTGTATTACACTATAATTGCAAGCATGAAAAGTGATTCTTAATACAGTAGCCCCAGGCACTTAAAAATGTCTATAAGTCATAGAAACTACCAAACCAAATAGTAATTACTATATTTCCCACTATAACCTAAAAGTTTTTTTCTGTTTGCAGACAGTACCTGCTGAACTGGGCTGTCCACCGTGAAGGCCTTGTACACATACGAGGCTTGATTCTTACTGCCACGACTCCATATGACCATGTTTCCAGCCACATACAGCTCCTCCTCATATTCAACCTCATCAGGAGCAGTTCCCTTCCTCAGCTGCCAGCGCTCCTGTCAGTCACATCATAATCATAGTTAAAACATGCAGTATTTTAATTAAGAACAGTTTGATTTCGCTTAAAGGAGAAGAGCAGTGCAAACACACTGCTAAACTCCTCCTTTTGTGTTCCACAGAAGAAACAAAGTAAAAAACAAACTACCTTCTCGCGCTCCTGTAGAGTGACCTCCTGAAGGGATCCCACGAGTCCAGCCGCCCCGTCAGAGGACCAGAGCTCAGAGGCCGGCTGGAGCTGCCGCAGCTGGAGATTCACGGCATTCGGGTGATTTTTGCAGTGCTCACGACCGAACGGGACAAACGACTGCAATTCGCCTGCGGCTATCATTGTGGCTCTCTCTTCATAGACGTGCGACATGAGTTCCCAATATCAGCACATCATTCCCATATATAATTTCTTTCTATGCATCCTTAGTCTATATCAGTCTAAAAGTATCCTTCATGCACCTCAAGTTTTTCCCCTAAAATTACCACACAAAGCAAAGGTTCAACATCTGCAGACTAAAATACAACACTTACTGACGATTTCATCCTGTATCATGTATCAGTGCCAGTTATATTTGTTATGATATGCTATTAATCCATCACTTTATTAATTCCGGGGAAATGTTCAAACAAAAGCATGTATTACACTACACAAGATCTCTTCGATTTTGTTCTCGCTTGTAACGAATAACAATATTTACACTGTTTGAGGGAAAAACACAAACTTTGTATGTTGCAGTCAGTCAGTCATCCCGTCCGCATTAGCAGCGGCGCTACTGCTAACAACATCCGCTCAAATACTCGCCTGCTAATAACAAATAGTCGAGCTTCCGGTCCTGGAGTGCGTTCCTTCCCTTTGACAGATGCCTCTCCCTCTGCAATCGCCTGCTCGTTGAGGCCAACATACAAAAACATCAAAGTATGCAGTGAAAACCGATTGAGCACACTACACTGTTTCAAATGAACGCGGACATGTTGTTATCCCGTGACGCACTTCCGAGCGTCTGACCAATCAGAGAGCTGCGTTCTGGAAGTGCGCAAGTGCGCATGTCTTACTGGCGGCCTATCCGTACGCAAGGTGAAGTGAAGGCATCATGGTAATATACACTGTTAGAATCACCAGGGGCAAGTTCAAGCTCAAACCTGTATGCACCGTTTTGCTACGGTTTCCCGGAAACGGTGTGCAACGGGGTTTGAGATGAGTTTTCTCTTGTTTGGTGGGTGTGTCAAACATGTCAGCCCAATCAGAAGCAGCATGTATATAAACCACGGTGTATTAAAGATGCAGCTCGCACAATGTAATTAACATCCAAATAAATTCACAAGAGCAAGTATATTGTTTGCACATGTTTTATTTACATTAAAGGCAAAATAACTGAAATAATAAGAGCACATGTATAGATCTGGAACTTCTTTAAGTCTGTCTAAATATCATTTAGTAATTGCAATGTCTTCTGGTCAATATCCTTTCCTTAGGAAGGTGTGCTAGACACTGATTAATGTAACAAAAATACTATACATATTTATGTATTTTGCTATTGTATTAAAGAGTGACACTTTTCTATACCCCTCTGATGATATAATGGTAAATATTACAATATCATAGCACAACAACAGCGATCAGAAATAATGATAAGCCTATTACTCACAATAAAAATAATAAGGTCATATAGATCATAACACAGTCTCGGAGGTAAGAAGTGGATTATTGATTATAGTGGACTTTTCATCCTGAAATGCGAGGCAAATATTGGATCACAATAATTAGGAACCACAGTTTCCACAAATCCCGTCACTCGATTGGGATGTTCTCTTTTATTCTGGAGGGCAAGGACAGTGACTGTTACATCGAGTGTATTTTGCGGTATAAAACACGTATTTATACCGATTTCATCAGGCTCCGAAAATGCTTCAAAAAGAACACAAAGATTGGCCTTCTCAGCTGCCATAGTTGCAACTCTTGCGTCATCAGAACAGGGTGTTCAGTGCACCACCGTTTCCGTTTAAAAAAACATTTTGCACCATTTTTGTCGGGGCTGAACGCAGCCCAGATGTAAAGGATAAAATTAAATAATTAATTGCTAGCTATTGGAAAGCAGCCACAATTCAAAATTATTTTAGTACCAATTGGGAGCTTCTTAATTTCAGATAGGTGTTTATTTAAGAAAAGTTGGAACACTTTTAGACAAAAAAAGAAGGGTTCTAAGCTAGTTTTAAGCTTGAAAAGCGTGATTTTACCCTCTCAACAATTGAACAACTATGTGTTGATGGCAAAATTGTTAAAGATCCAAAGAAAATAGCAAAACTACAGTGCCAGTTTTTATAAAAATCTTTATAGTTCAAGTTATTCAGAACAGATAGCGTCCTCATTTCTAGACTCAGTTAATTATGTTAAGGTTATATCTGAAAGTGATATCATTTTTTGTGATAGCATTGTTACTCTTGAGGAAGTAGAAAGAGCAATTAAGAGTTTGAAAAACAATAAATCTCCAGGGTGTGACGGACTTACAGGTGAACTGTAGAACTTTTTAACTCAGCTTTTTAGAGAAAGTATTGAAAAAGAGGCTTTACCTCCTACATTGATGCAAGGTATCATAACGTTAATTCCTAAACCTAAGAAAGATCTTACCAACTTAGACAACTGGCGACCCATCACACTCCTTTCAATTCAATTCAAGTTTATTTGTATAGCGCATGTCACGATACAAAAATCGTTGCAAAGCAACTTTACAGCAAATTAAGTTTCTACAATATTTAGTGGTAGCTTATCAGTGGTGACTGTCAGTTAATGTACATATGGCAGAAATGTACGGAAAAATCAATTTAAGACGTAATAAAACAGACGATGAGCACTATTAACAGCAATTATGATGCAATCAAACTTATAGCAAAATGTTGTAGTTCTGTAAATTGTTTCAGGGTTGGCATCATCTGAGGTCCTCTGAGGGGTTGCATCATCTCTTCTCAGGTGTTCTGGATCCAGACTGAAGCTTGTGTAAATCCTAGTTACCACGTGATGTCAATCCCAGCAAAAACAGAGAAACAAATAGAAACATAATTAGCGTAGCTGCTGTTCCAACCAAGCAAAATTGATTTGTTTAACCCAAACTAAAGAATAATAATGTGCATATTTGATCAGATATAACTGCAGTACAAGATTATGAGATGCATTATTTGAATGCTTGGCCAAAGAGATGTGTCGAGAGCAGTCAATGGGTAGATAATCTTTCTTCCTAATGGCAAATGTGTAAAATCGACAAATGACTATAACATTTTCGCCATAATATTTGCTAAAAGACTTCAAGATTGTTTGGATACTGTTATAGATGAGACTCAGTCTGGATTTATGAGGGACCGACATATAATGAATAATATTAGATTAGTTTTAGATTTATTGGGTTATAGTGATTTGCTGGAACATAATAGTTTTATTCTTTTCCTGGATTTGTATAAAGCTTTTGATTCAGCTGAACATAAATTTATATTTAAATCAGTAGAAAAATTTGGTTTTGGTGAATATTTTTGTAAGGCTGTAAGAATTCTATATTACAACTGTAGTAGCACAATTAAATTAAAATTTGGTACTTCTCCTAGATTTTACTTGTCACGTGGTATTAGGCGAGGGTGTCCATTATCCTCTTATTTATTTTTACTAGTTTCCCAGATACTCGCTTCTTATATTTCTAATAGTGGTCTTCATGGTAACTCGCTTCTTATATTTCTAATAGTGGTCTTCATGGTATCTCTATTGCTGACAAACAGATACTCATCAGTCAACTGGCTGATAATACCACACTTTTTTTGCAAGAGTCTAACCAAGTTCCTTTAGCACTAAAGTATATCCAGCAATTCTCCAAAGCATCAGGTATGTTCTTGAACCTCTCAAAGTGTGAATTGATGTCCATCAAAGATTGTAATTTGTCAGAAATTTGTAATATTCAAATCAAAGATCAGGTATCTTATTTAGAATCAGAATCAGAAAGAGCTTTATTGCCAAGTATGTTTGCACATACAAGGAATTTGTTATAGTGTCACAAGCTTCCAGTACACGGAGACAACAACACACAGATAATAAAAATGAGATGTGAATAAAATACACATGCATAAATATAAACCCCCAAAAAAGAATAATTTGTATGTACAGGTGTGGTATAGATGGAATAGGAATAGAATGCTGATATGCTTTCCATTTTCTTTATAGGTGTAATTAAATTACTTATGTAATAAGTAATATAAGATAGTCAGTAAATGCAAGTTCTGTGGCTATATTTATATATTCCATTATGCATTTACAGCAATGGTTCTTAATCTTTGTAAAGTCAGACATCTTTCATCGTCAATATATGATGCTTTTTTTTTGCTTTCTGACATGGCGCCTTGTTTTCAAACTTTTTTCTTTCAGTGCATTAAATTAATTAATTAAAGCTTTTTTATAGCTAAAAAAGTGAAAATGTATACATGATATTTTATTGTACTTAAAATTCCTGCTTTTTTCCCGGAGATATGATACATATGTTGCACTAATATATTTATTTTTTTATCATTGAAGGAAAAATAATTCCAATTTAAATGGATGGACTACGCTATATAAAAAACGTCATGTGATTGGCCGTGTGGAACAGTGGTCTCGGGAGCATGACGCTGTTGTCCTTTGCTTTCATTACAGATCTAATGATGCTCTCATAGCATTATTGAAGCTAATGTCCTCTGTGTGTCCAGATATACAGATGTATTTACTGCATTAATTTGGATGCACTTAAGGGTTTGTCTAACTGATCTGTCACTGGGTTCTGGTCCGTGGTATAAAGACAAGAATGGAAGTCGATATTGACAGATTTCAACTGATTCTTCCTCTATGAATGTCAGAAAAATGTCAATATGATAATATTACAAACCTAACATTAATATATTGATTTTATTAAACTGTTTTCATTCAGTTTTAGTTTGTTTGGCATCTCTAAAGACATATTATTATTGTTTTGTCTTTGTGTCTTTTTGACCCTTTATTGACAGGTCCATTGAGAGAGCAGACAGCGAACAAGAAAAGGAGGGAAAGGGATCAGGAATCACCCGAGACTTGAACTTGCATGTTAATTGTGCTTGCACAGTCACGCATCACTATTTCTATTGCTGATTTTTTATTTAAACAACCTCCAAACACTATATATTAAACTTCACCATCTAATTCATCCAGCCAAAGGAAGTCTCACGCTTCTGTCTTGATGCATCAGATGTAAGGCTGCAACAGCGAATACAGAATAAAGACTGAAATTCCATTTGTTAACTTGATTTATTGGCATCGCGTCTGCAGTCTACATCCCTCATTAATCACTTTGTCCACAAGGAGACCCTAGAAAACAGCGATCCAGATCAAATAAAGCTG